GTATGACATTGTTATAACATGTGTTGACAAATAATGCATTAACGTATAACATTATGTTTATAATGTATTACATTGTTTTATCGTGTGTTGACAAATAATGCATTAACGTATTACATTGTTTTATCGTGTGTTGACAAATAATGCATTTACGTATTACATTGTTATTATATGTGTTGACAAATAATGCATTAACGTATAACATTGTTATAACATGTGTTGACAAATAATGCATTAACGTATAACATTGTTATAACATGCGTTGACAAATAATGCATTTACGCATTACATTGTTATAACATGTGATGACAGATCATGCATTAACGTATTGCATTGTTTTAACATGTCTCTGAACACACCAGCAAACACCGAGGAAAATTGTGAAAATAACACTGGCTTTGACAGGGAAATCAGTAATGAACTGAGTTATTGCATTTGAATTAGTCAGTTCTCAACGGTTTTGACAGAAATTTCTGGGAATCTGGAGTAATTCTGTTTCACCTGTATTCCTACACACATATTGTAGCCAATCCCTGTGGTCATATATAGTACACTGTATCACTATAGTATACGTAAACAAACGGTTTTCTACATCAACACTTACTGTATCTTAATAAATTAATTATTATCTGGGTATGTTTAAATATATATTTGAATATCAATATTCATACAGACACATACTAGTCATACAAACGTGTACAGTATATTAGCGTGTAATTGGACACACTCGCGTGATTATACTGGAACTATTTATAAGGTACACATAGCATGCGTGTAGGGCAGTACTACAGCCTCCTACCCAAACCATTTGTCATAACGTTTACACACACTTATCAAGGGTTCAAAAACAACACAAATCTACCAAACACCTGTTCATTGTTTGTTGATGTTTGTTATAATATCCTTCACTCGTAAATTTCTGGGAATAGATTTCTGATCACGTACAAAATAACTTTTCAACCCAGATGTTGCCCTTATTTTAAGAAGAAGATTTTTGAAATATTGGTTAATTTTCCCGACGCACGGAAAGCGATTAGAATAGGTCACTTATTGAGCAAAGCTCAGGTGACCTAAAAATAAAAGTTTGCGAGTGAGTTGCTAATTAAGTCAGTGAAATTTCGATCACTTTTAAACCTTTCCTAGTAGCTACAATAGTTATTTCCTAGTCGCTACAATAGTTATTGTCGACCTTTGTTATGTCGTTCACAAAGAATACATCGATAGAGAATCGAGTGTCGAACCTCAAAAGTAAAGCTATCAGCAGAAACTCATTTTCATATATTAAATAAAAACCAAGAAATGTCTGTAAGACATGATAGCCCCTTTGGCTCTGTGTCTGACCTATAAACACCAAAATTTACCCTGCTATAGATGATGGGACCTTGAAATATGATCTCATCCGAGCTATTCTCATACTGGACAAATGTATAAACTTTGAAGTTAAGTTGATAAGAAGAGAATTCGCTAGAGTCATGACAATGAGTCCGGCAACGTGACACCAGACTCATGACAATGAGTCTGGCCACGTGACACCAGAGTCATGACAATGAGTCCGGCCACGTGACACCAGAGTCATGACAATGAGTCCGGCCACGTGACACTAGAAGACAGGACTAGCATGGATAACATTACTATATATAGATCACCGAAATGACAACGTAGATACATTAAGCTTGTTAAGTCACAGTCACTTTAAAATATACAAGTTGTTCTATCAAGAATTGCCTAGTGAGATGCTAAGGAGACTGACTGCCTGTGTTATTGGAGGGTAATTTGGTGAAATGTCTCAATATTTTCTGACAGCTGACTTTACTGACTCGGCCCACTGTGACTTAGTGAGTTGTTTACAGCGGTTTAAAGTTGAGACACGGATCATTTTTACTCTTTCCTTCACAAAGAAACATGTTTTCAAAAGCTATTAAAAGCTTTAAGCTTTGCATTTATTATTCCATATCAAACTGAAGAATTTCATTGCAAAGTGCCCTGTACAGGAACATAAAGTAAGTTATTGTACATTATTCTTATTAAACATAGTAGTCTGCGATCTCCTTAAAAGACCACCCCTTATAAGCTTCAGATCTATCCCACATGGAGTAGATTTATGAGGTTCAACCCTTTATAAGTGTGTGATATTATTAATATGTTTACGAATAAATACAACAGTCCATAGTGTATCAACAGTACAAAGTGTATCAACAGTCCATCGTGTATCAACAGTCCATAGTGTATCAACAGTACATAGTGTATCAACAATACAAAGTGTATCAACAGTACAAAGTGTATCAACAGTATGTAGTGTATCAACAGTACATAGTGTATCAACAGTCCATAGTGTATCAACAGTACATAGTGTATCAACAGCCCATAGTGTATCAACAGTACATAGTGTATCAACAATACAAAGTGTATCAACAGTACAAAGTGGATCAACAGTACAAAGTGTATCAACAGTATGTAGTGTATCAACAGTACATAGTGTATCAACAATACAAAGTGTATCAACAGTACAAAGTGGATCAACAGTATGTAGTGTATCAACAGTACATAGTGTATCAACAGTACATAGTGTATCAACAGCCCATAGTGTATCAACAGTACATAGTGTATCAACAATACAAAGTGTATCAACAGTACAAAGTGTATCAACAGTACAAAGTGTACAGTAATTGACAGAATGTTAACATGCAGATTACAATAACGCACTAAACAAACTGTAAACATTGCAGGATAAGTCCTTAGTGGTTTGCTATACAGAGTAACAACACATACAGTATGTGGTATAACTATATACATTACGCTGAGTACTGAGTAACAATATATAAGGTGAGTAGTAGACTAGTTATACAAGGAAGTGGCAACCTAAACAAGGTGTCGTCAGAGGGTTCGTCTACAGACAGGGCAAGTCCCAGACTGAAAAACAGAAAAAATAGTCGGATTTTACCTACATTTATTGATATATCATTTATTACACATTATCTGTATTTACATAATTTATTGTATATTATTCGTATTTATTTTTGTAATTAATTTTACATAATCTGTTTTATAATTCATTTTACATTTTCTGTATTTACATAATTTATTATTCGTATTTAGTTACTGTATTACATGAACTGTTCGTTGTGTATAAACATTCGTGGTTTTCGTGGTTTTCGTGGTTGCGTTTGAACCACAAAAATAAATACAACAGAATCAAACGATGTATGTGTCGACTGTTTGTTAATATTAGATATCCAAAAACGTTTGTACCACAAAATGATCTGAATGGGTTCAAACCGCAAAGTCTCCATGAACGTTTGTACCACGAAATGATCTGAATGGGTTCAAACCACAAAGTCTCCACGAACATTTGTTCCACGGAATGATCTGAATGGGTTCAAACCGCAAAGTCTCCACGAACGTTTGTACCACGAAATGATCTAAATGGGTTCAAACCGCAAAGGAAAGTCTCCACAAACGTTTGTATCACGAAACGATGTGAATGGGTTCAAACTGCAAAGTCTCCACGGACGTTTGTACCACGAAACGATCTAAATGGGTTCAAACCGCAAAGGAAAGTATCCACGAACGTTTGTACCACGAAATGATCTAAATGGGTTCAAACTGCAAAGGAAAGTCTCCACGAACGTTTGTACCACGAAATGATCTGAATGGGTTCAAACCGCAAAGGAAAGTCTCCACGAACATTTTGTGTTATACAGTATATAATTAATGGTACATCATGTTACATATTTATATAATTTATTGTACATTTTAAATTACCTAAGCTAGAGTACATTATCTATTTATTTAAATAATCAATTAAACATTTTCTCTCTATATATATATGTTTTACCACACATTATCTGTACTTACATACAGTTGTACTTTGACTATATATAATCTATTGTATATAAAAAATATACAATATTTTGTATGTATAATGTTTACATTATACCTATATCTATATCTATATAGAATTATCTAAATGTACCACGAACATTTCGTGGTACAAACGTTCGTGGAGACTTTCCTTTGCGTTTTGAACCCATTCAGATCATTTCGTGGCACAAACGTTCGTGGAGACTTTCCTCTGCGGTTTGAACCCATTTAGATCATTTCGTGGTACAAACGTTCGTGGAGACTTTCCTTTGCGGTTTGAACCCATATATACAATAGATTATATATAGTCAAAGTATAATACTTTACAGTACAATAAATTATATAAATATGTAACATGATGTACCATTAATTAATTATACGAACGTTTGTACCACGAAATGATCTAAATGGGTTCAAACCGCAAAGTCTCCCCGAACATTTGTACTACGAAATGATCTGAATGGGTTCAAAACGCAAAGGAAAGTCTCCACGAACGTTTGTACCACGAAATGATCTGAATGGGTTCAAACCGCAAAGGAAAGTCTCCACGAACATTTTGTGTTATACAGTATATAATTAATGGTACATCATGTTACATATTTATATAATTTATTGTACATTTTAAATTACCTAAGCTAGAGTACATTATCTATTTATTTAAATAATCAATTAAACATTTTCTCTCTATATATATATGTTTTACCACACATTATCTGTACTTACATACAGTTGTACTTTGACTATATATAATCTATTGTATATAAAAAATATTCTCTGTATAATCTATTGTATATTCTCTGTATTTCTGTAATCTATAGTTCAAATCTTGTAAAATTGAAATGGTTTAAAGTATTGTACTTTGACTATATATAATCTATTGTATATTCTCTGTATTTCTGTAATCTATAGTTCAAATCTTGTTAAATTGAAATGATTTAAAGTATTGTACTTTGACTATATATAATCTATTGTATATTCTCTGTATTTCTATAATCTATAGTTCAAATCTTGTTAAATTGAAATGATTGAAAGTATCTGAATTTACAAATTATTATCTTTTTATGTAATTTAATTCTCCAGAAAAAAATTCTGTTCAATGATACCTCAACTTTTTCATCTTTTTCAATCCAATGTTGTTTTACCTTAATAAGCCAAGCTTGTATACACAGCTGGTGGAAGAGGTGTTGACAGGGGAGACAACTCAATGTTTCTTTTTCTTCACATACACACAGACATATAGGACAAGACAGACTGATGGCTAGAAAAAGAAAAACAGAAATCTTGAAACATCCAAGTCATGTGAGATTTAACGATAGAATTCATGAAACGTAATTAAGATTTATTTTACATTTCAATGAATAATAAAGAGTGATTCTCATTCCATCAACTTCACCAAATGACTGATCAGACAGGACTAACTAATGTGCTTAGAAATGGAACAAGATCTCAGTCCTACATAACTGTATACAGGCAAGATCTCAGTCCTACATAACTATATACAGGCAAGATCTCAGTCCTACATAACTATATACAGGCAAGATCTCAGTCCTACATAACTATATACAGGCAAGATCTCAGTCCTACATAACTATATACAGGCAAGATCTCAGTCCTACATAACTATATACAGGCAAGATCTCGTCCTACATAACTATATATAGGCAAGATATCAGTCCTACATAACGATATACAGGCAAGATATCAGTCCTACATAACTATATACAGGCAAGATCTCATTCCTACATAACTATAGACAGGCAAGATCTCAGTCCTACATAACTATATACAGGCAAGATCTCAGTCCTACATATATAGGCATCATCATATTATAAGATCTCAGTCCATTATATCCGTTATAGATACACAGGACTGATCTCGTACCCGGGTTCTACCTAGGTATAGTTACACTGGACTGATCTCATACCCTGGTTCTACCTAGGTATAGTTACACAGGACTGATCTCGTTCCCTGGTTCTACCTAGGTATAGTTACACAGGACTGATCTCGTACCCGGGTTCTACCTAGGTATAGTTACACAGGTCTGATCTCATACCCTGGTTCTACCTAGGTATAGTTACACAGGACTGATCTCATACCCTGGTTCTTAGAAATGGAACAAGATATCAGTCCTACATAATTAAACTTCAAACTTAAATGTCCCTGGTTGACTGTCTATTCTGGTTTAAGTTTTAATTAAACTACAAACCTAAATGACCCTGGATGACAGTCTATATGGGTTTAAGTTTTAATTAAACTACAAACTTAAATGACCCTGGTTGACAGTCTATATGGGTTTAAGTTTTAATTAAACTACAAACCTAAATGACCCTGGTTGATAGTCTATATGGGTTTAAGTTTTAATCAAACTACAAACCTAAATGACCCTGGTTGACAGTCTATATGGGTTTAAGTTTTAATTAAACAACAAACCTAAATGACCCTGGTTAACTGTCTATATGGGTTTAAGTTTTAATTAAACTACAAACCTAAATAACCCTGGTTGACAGTCTATATGGGTTTAAGTTTTAATTAAACCACAAACCTAAATGACCCTGGTTGACAGTCTATATGGGTTTAAGTTTTAATTAAACTACAAACCTAAATGACACTGGTTGACTGTTAGTGATGGTAAGGAGTCGATAATGGACTGATCAGCTGGTGGGGGCGTGGCATCTGACAGCAGGTCAGGATGGACAGCTAACATCTGTAGAATCACATTCTGGAGAGAAAAAAAACTAGACTTAAATAAATGATTTCATTAGATGCCTATACCCCTACTTGTGATGCTGTAAGTATAAGATTGAATCGGTTGTATCCCGGCTTTTGTCCTGGTTTTGCTATCAAGAGAGTTATTCCCTTACTAGCCCTAATAGTTGGTCCAAAAACTACAACAGCACTGTGGTTATCAGTTCCAAGGAGTAAAGACTAACTCTCTAAACAATTATCATAACGTCCTCAAGAAAATGACCAAGAAAATACGATGGGAGGAGTGTTAGCCAGCCAGCTGTGAATGATCTCAGATAGCAGTGCAGGTCAATATTGTAACCAGCCAGCTGTGAATGATCTCAGATAGCAGTGCAGGTCAATATTGTAACCAGCCAGCTGTTAATGATCTCAGATAGCAGTGCAGGTCAATATTGTAACCAGCCAGCTGTTAATGATCTCAGATAGCAGTGCAGGTCAATATTGTAACCAGCCAGCTGTTAATGATCTCAGATAGCAGTGCAGGTCAATATTGTAACCAGCCAGCTGTTAATGATCTCAGATAGCAGTGCAGGTCAATATTGTAACCAGCCAGCTGTTAATGATCTCAGATAGCAGTGCAGGTCAATATTGTAACCAGCCAGCTGTTAATGATCTCAGATAGCAGTGCAGGTCAATATTGTAACCAGCCAGCTGTTAATGATCTCAGATAGCAGTGCAGGTCAATATTGTAACCAGCCAGCTGTTAATGATCTCAGATAGCAGTGCAGGTCAATATTGTAACCAGCCAGCTGTTAATGATCTCAGATAGCAGTGCAGGTCAATATTGTAACCAGCCAGCTGTTAATGATCTCAGATAGCAGTGCAGGTCAATATTGTAACCAGCCAGCTGTTAATGATCTCAGATAGCAGTGCAGGTCAATATTGTAACCAGCCAGCTGTTAATGATCTCAGATAGCAGTGCAGGTCAATATTGTAACCAGCCAGCTGTTAATGATCTCAGATAGCAGTGCAGGTCAATATTGTAACCAGCCAGCTGTTAATGATCTCAGATAGCAGTGCAGGTCAATATTGTAACCAGCCAGCTGTTAATGATCTCAGATAGCAGTGCAGGTCAATATTGTAACCAGCCAGCTGTTAATGATCTCAGATAGCAGTGCAGGTCAATATTGTAACCAGCCAGCTGTTAATGATCTCAGATAGCAGTGCAGGTCAATATTGTAACCAGCCAGCTGTTAATGATCTCAGATAGCAGTGCAGGTCAATATTGTAACCAGCCAGCTGTTAATGATCTCAGATAGCAGTGCAGGTCAATATTGTAACCAGCCAGCTGTTAATGATCTCAGATAGCAGTGCAGGTCAATATTGTAACCAGCCAGCTGTTAATGATCTCAGATAGCAGTGCAGGTCAATATTGTAACCAGCCAGCTGTTAATGATCTCAGATAGCAGTGCAGGTCAATATTGTAACCAGCCAGCTGTTAATGATCTCAGATAGCAGTGCAGGTCAATATTGTAACCAGCCAGCTGTTAATGATCTCAGATAGCAGTGCAGGTCAATATTGTAACCAGCCAGCTGTTAATGATCTCAGATAGCAGTGCAGGTCAATATTGTAACCAGCCAGCTGTTGATGATCTCAGATACCAGTGCAGGTCAATATTGTAACCAGCCAGCTGTTGATGATCTCAGATAGCAGTGCAGGTCAATATTGTAACCAGCCAGCTGTTAATGATCTCAGATACCAGTGCAGGTCAATATTGTAGCCAGCCAGCTGTTAATAATCTCAGATAGCAGTGCAGGTCAATATTGTTAAAGTAAATACCTCTCTCCATAGTGTTTCTAGATCATTGTATTTTAAAAATAACCATGAATTTTGTGTAAGAATATTATTTAAAACAGTTGAAGTATGGAATTAAATTCCATACTTCAACTGCTTTAAATATAATTCTTATATAACTAAATTTTATTTTGAGATGTACATGTAGCAGTTTCTTCACCTCCTCAGCAGCCAGGCTATTTTCCCCTGGCTTTGCCTTTGGAAATAGACCTGTTCTTGGGCAACTAGAAACATGTAACAGACACATACAACATAAGTATACATAATGACATCATCTTTGACTGACCCCGAGGGCTCACTCATGTAACAGACACATACAACATGAGTATACATAATGACATCATCTTTGACTGACCCCCAGGGCTCACTCATGTAACAGACACATACAACATGAGTATACATAATGACATCATCTTTGACTGACCCCCAGGGCTCACTCATGTAACAGACACATACAACATGAGTATACATAATGACATCATCTTTGACTGACCCCCAGGGCTCACTCATGTAACAGACACATACAACATGAGTATACATAATGACATCATCTTTGACTGACCCCCAGGGCTCACTCATGTAACAGACACATACAACATGAGTATACATAATGACATCATCTTTGACTGACCCCCAGGGCTCACTCATGTAACAGACACATACAACATGAGTATACATAATGACATCATCTTTGACTGACCCCCAGGGCTCACTCAGCTGTGAAATCAATGACGTCACAGGCCAATTTATTTGATGGAACATGGCGGTGTTTTCAGGGGCCTACAAAAGGGATATTTGCATGACTGTTTTCAAAACATAGTGACATATGCATTGTGGTACCCGAGATTGGCGGTACAAAGGGTGCATTTAAGTGTGGCGAAAATGGTTCCGACAAAATGGATGGCTGTAGGCAAGTTTGGTGGTACATCAAGGTTATACTGTATATGGGGCAAGGAAGTGGTTCCAACAGACAATTTAATGTACTAAACTATACGGTTTTATTGCAGGAAGTTTTTAACTGATATGGATTACCGTAAATCTCTCTAATTTCACACTTTATTAATGATGAAAAGGCTGCGAGTTCTAAAACATATCTAAATATCCTGGAACCAATCAATATATAAATCTGTAGTTAGTTGTAGATTTAGTATTCGCACAAGATTGACATTATTTTGTGTATGAGTCTCCTCCAGAATTTACTTGAAATTGATCTCTCAAAAACTGAGTGTTTCAAAGTTGTTGCTTTTATAAAAGTAACAATATACGCCCGTCGAATGCCATGTAGTGTTATATACTTTCCTACATTGAAATAAGACCTGCATCATTCTTATAGTGGTTAGCTGATATGATATAAAAATGTAGGAAAAAACCTTGGACAAAAAATCAAATACTGAAATGAACAAAAGGCAATAAATTTTGCAAAAATCATTGAATCAAAATTCTTTTAAGGGAGACACAACTTCATATCATGATCATAAAGTATACCAAGTTTCAAATAGATCGGTCGAAAAATGTAGGAGGAGATTGCCGGACAAACAAAGTTTACGCCGGAAACAACGCCATACCATAATACTACCATCAAATTTGACGGTCATATAAAAACACATACATGTAACGATCTGTGAAGTTTTTACCTCAAACATGACCTCCAGTTCATTCCGTCGACTGTTCATAATGCTACTCAAGGGACTCAACTCAGCGATACTGATCCTGTACAGGCCTTCCTCTAATTCTCCCTCGGGTAATCTGGAATCAAATCACTTCCATAAACTTCAAACCTAGTGTAATACATTTAATACAACTTGTCAACATTTGTCTGTGATATATGTTGTAATAAAACAAGAGGCCCAGAGGGCCTGTATCGCTCACCTGTTTCTTTTGTTACATGAAACTGACATATAGGTAACTTCATACCAAATTTGGTAACTAGAACACGAGACATTTTAACATCCCTTAAACGCTACTTAAGATATTGTTGTTTGAAATTTTTAATTTTAATTTTAAAGCTTTTAACCCACGTTGACCTATGACTCCTGCTAGCACTTAAAGTTGACCTTTGACCTCTAATAAAGAAAACGATTCATACAAATGTAGCTGGTCTTCATAAGATAACCAAGTATCATGACTCTAGACCAAATGCTTATTAGGATATTGCTGTTTGAAAATTTTAACATATTTAACCCTTGCAACCTTGAAAGTAGGTCAAGGTCATTTTAATGAGGACACTTCATAGCACTCTATCCCAGGTACATTGTACCTACTGGCCAAATATCATGACCCTGGGCCTTATGGAACTTGAGAAGAAGATTGTCAAAGCTTTTAACGAAAGTTGACATTTGACCCCCGACTAGCATTTAAAGTTGACCTTTGACCTCATTACTGTAATTGATTAAAATATTCGCACTGCTGGTCTACATAACATTCCCAAGTATCATGACTTTAGTTCAAATGGTTCTTAGGATATTGTTGTTTGAAATTTTTAACATATTTGACCGCTGTGACCTTGAAAGCAGGTCAAGGTCATTTTAATGAGGAAATTTTATAGCACTCCATCCCAGGTACCTACTGGCCAAATATCATAACCCTAGGTCCTACAGTTCTTCAGAAGAAGTTGTTCAAAAGAAAAAGTTGACGGCCGGACGCTGCACTACGGCATAAGCTCACATGACCCTTTGGACCAGGTGAGCTAAAAATAAACCCTAAAAGAAATGTTTATTTTTGACATTTTACAACCAAAATTATACTACACTGAATCTGCCTCTCCCCTCCCCCCCCACCNNCCCCCCCCTTGCTTGTAGTATTTTCAAAATCTAACCACATGTTATGACCCTCACCCCACACTGACCTTTGATGACCATGAGCCTCATCCTCAACCACAGACAGATCACTACTGCTTGGATGAGCATGACCTTGACCTTGGCTTCGAAGGGTGCTGTCATTCCGAGTTCTCAATTGGAGACAATGTTCACACTCGCATTCAAACTCATCGTCGGCTTCCCCGCTGTCCGACTCGCTGTGGGTACTAAACAGACTCTGAACCGGTACCTCCTCACTTAGATTACTCTGTAAATAGCAAAACACACTCGTAACGGAGTTATAATTTACTTCTCACTTAGATTATTCTATAAATAGACAATAAACTCCTCACTTAGATTACTCTGTAAATAGCAAAACACACTCGTAACGGAGTTATAACGTACTCCTCACTTAGATTATTCTATAAATAGACAAGAAACTTCCCACTTAGATTATTCTATAAATAGACAATAAACTCCTCACTTAGATTACTCTATAAATAGACAGTAAACTCCTCACTTAGATTACTCTATAAATAGACAATTAACTCCCCACTTAGATTATTCTATAAATAGACAATAAACTTCTCACTTAGATTATTCTATAAATAGACAATAAACTTCTCACTTAGATTATTCTATAAATAGACAATAAACTCCTCACTTAGATTATTCTTTAAATAGACAATAAAATCCTCATTTTCTTTGTTTTATAAATAGACACTGAACTCTTCACTTAAGATTATATTCTATAAATAGACAATATATTCATCAACCTCAATAAGTTACTCCGTAAACAGAAACCCCAATCATCACTTTACCCAGGAGTGTACACTTCCAGGAGCCTGGTACCAGGAAGGTCGTACATTAAAGGGTTACTGACAATTACTGTGGTACCAGGAACAGGAAGATCTTACATCACAGGGTTACTGACAATTACTGTGGTACCAGGAACAGGAAGGTCGTACATCACAGGGTTACTGACAATTACTGTGGTACCAGGAACAGGAAGGTCGTACATCACAGGGTTCCTGACAATTACTGTGGTACCAGGAACAGGAAGGTCGTACATCACAGGGTTACTGACAATTACTGTGGTACCAGGAACAGGAAGATCTTACATTACAGGGTTACTGACAATTACTGTGGTACCAGGAACAGGAAGATCTTACATCACAGGGTTATTGACAATTACTGTGGTACCAGGAACAGGAAGATCTTACATCACAGGGTTACTGACAATTACTGTGGTACCAGTAGAGAGAACCATTTGCTAGCCAATAGTTCCTTCCATATTAACTAATAAAGTTGGGGAAAGAATTAGCTAACAATTAGTTTTCTCGTATAAAGCAATACGGCAGGAGAACAGAATCAACTGTAACAGGAAAGAAAATAGTGTGCTTCCACCAGGGATCGAACCTTCGATCCTCAGGTTCCTAGTTGGACGCTCTACCACTGAGCTAAAGGGAAATTTCCTCTAGCTCGAAGCTAGAAGGCGACCTTAATCCTATGTATAATTGAACCCTGCCACACTACTCCCCCCTTTTTAAATGTGTTCGCCCTCGAACACCGCAACCCAGGTTCTAACTCCCTGTCACCACAGGGAGGGCCAAGGTCACCATTTGTAACAGGAAAGAGAATAGTGTGCTTCCACCGGGGATCGAACCCTCGATCTCCAGGTTCCTAGTCGGACGCTTTACCACTGAGCTAAAGGGAAATTCCCTCTAGCTCGAAGCTAGAAGGCGACCTTAATCCTATGTACAATTGAACCCAGCCACACTACTATATGAATATATGGTAGTTCTCCCCTTTTAACTAATACAGAGTTGGGTGTATTGGCTAGCAAATAATACTCCCCATAAACCAATACAATGGGGGGAAAGAATTAGCTATTTAAATTTTTCCCTTGGTGGGGACAAAATTAACTAGGGGGGATGGGTGTGGGGGGGGAATTAACTAGCTGATTCATCCCCCCCCCCCCCCCCCCCCGGCGAAATAATCAGCTAGTTGAAAACTTTCAGATGGGGAAAGAAATTACTTCTACACCAGTAAAAAAGACACCCTATTCTTTAAATCAACTTACCCTGTCAGTATCGGAACGAATGGAGCTACAATCTGATGTATCTTGTTCAATGGACAAGAATTGTAAATCTGTCCGACATTCTTCTACGTCCTCAAGGTCTAAACCATCTGCCGACAGAAATCCTGTTTCAGCACAACTACAGTTCTCTGTATCCTCATGCTGTCCAATCAGCTTCAGAGATTCAGAGATTTCCTCACAAGGAAGATAATTTATTTGGTTTAGAGGTTCGGAGAGTTCATTTTTACAAGGAAGATGACTCGAGTCGGAGAGCTCCACACATGGGAGATAACTTAGGTGAGATACAGAATTTAATTGTGATGTAGTTACTTCACCAGGTTGTGGTAAAGATTGGGAGAGTTCTCCTAAAGGGACATAACCATGTTGAGTTGGGTGTGATTTATTTGTGAGGTTGATATGAGATTGTAGTGACTTACAAATGTCATCATAAGTTACACTAGCGGTACTTGGTCGAGAACCTTGGTCCAACACAAGGTCAGTCTGTAGTTGGGAATGACTAAACGTGTCCATGTCATTATCAGATATGTCAATGTACTGAAAGGAATGAGATATTTCAAGTCCTTCACTTTCATCTGTCTGAGAAATTTCATCGTGGCTACCTTCATCATTGGAGACAGGACAAACACATTTGCCCTTCAAATATCTATCTTTAACCACAACATGACCTTGACCTTGGAAATATGGCCCTTGATTTTGTAATTTATTTGGAATGTTATTTGAGAGATTGGAATGTTGGCTCCCAGACTTGCTGTCTTCCAATCCCCAAAGTTTACCAATGACTTCCTCTCTGTCTGAAGCCTGTAGCGCATTGGTGTCGGACATGTTGGAAACATTTCGAAAGAGTCTGTGTTCTACCGTCTTCAAACTACATTCTCCGCATTGGTTAAGGTCATTAAAAACTTTCAGGGTATGAGTCGAACATCCCGGATCACTTTGGAATCCAGGTTCGTTCCCTTCTATGAAGCTGTCCCCTTGACTCTGACTTCGTTGTTTTCCTGAGATCTGCTCTTGGGACTTCCCAGATTCAATCCGCTTAGCTAGACTCATCTTTAACCTTTCTGACAGATATGGGATGGCATACCGCAGGCCAAGGATCCCCGTGGCTGGCCCACACCCGGTGTAGCAGTGACTGTCTGCTGATTGGCTACTTTCTGAGCAGCTATCAACAGTGTGATTCTCGGTGTGGTCACGATTATCTGTGTCAAGGTCATTGAAATGCTCAGAAATTTCTGACTGTAAAGTAGGAGCTTTACAAGCTGTTTTATGACCCTGATCTTTAGCTATAAGTGCAGTTTTCACATCTCCTACTGATGATTCCTCTGTTGAATCTGAGTCAATTCTGTGTCCTACTATGACCCGATTTCGAATGAGGTCCATAACAACTTCATGCTCCATTGACCTTGACCTTGAGTGGGTTTTCTTACGGTATCGTTTAGGCGAGAACCTCGCACATGACTTTGACATACAGGAGTCACGACTGTATCCAGGATCGGGACAACTGTTCCTCTTGCTCTGTTCATGCCGATTGCTGATGGAAATGTAGGCGTCACTCGAGTCAGCATCAGCCCAGTCGTTGGTGGAGCTTCTATCCAAGTCTGTTGTGGCTGAATCCGATGAAAATATGGGAGACTTGTGCTGGTCCAGTGCCTTTAACAAATGGTCTTTAAAGTTACATTGACTGTTTGAAGGTGCAGATGGAGGTTTACTATCTGCCTGAAGAGAAATTTGAACAATGGGTCGAGAATTATCCGTGAATTCTAAATCTATTGAGTCTTCATAGCTATCACTATAATTATCTTCGTCGTCTAGCTGTGACTGGGGGTGGTTATCTGAGTGAGTTCTCTTGCTGTGCATATTATCCCCTCCTACAATGTTTGACCATCTACGCATATGAAGGGGACTTATTGCACCCTGTTCCTTCCAATTTTCCTCAACTGCACTGTGAAACCTCACCGAGTTGCCGACTGGTTTTCCATCTCCAATTTTCCCAGAAAACTTGCTATCAGTGATATTTTGAGGTGTACCACTGTTGGAGTGGCTTGGTTTGTCGCTGTTTTGATTTTGGACTTGTTTCTCAATTTTTTGCTCGATGTCAATGCCTGGTTCTCGCCATACACGATCAGTACAACAAGAGTCTGGACCACTACAGAAAAATGGAATGTGCGGGAAACTATCTGAAGATTTGGCTGGCGAATGTTTGCTATCATCAGGTTTACTGACGGCTTTTCTTTCAGTGGGTACCGAATCTTTCCAGAGTTTGGAGTGAATGTCCATAATTACATCAAACGAACTGAGATCTGTAGGAGATGATTTATCTTTGTGCTGTGGATATTTTTCTTCCTTTAAATCTGATATTTCTACTATGTCACTGAGATCTAATATGGCATTATGTCCAGACAGATCTAACAAACACTCGTCAGGGTTGTCAGGTTCTCGGCTTGATTGAATATTAAATCTCTCCATGAACCTAGATTTCTTTACTAATTCTCCTTCAGTAGAATCTAATACATGTTCCTTGTCAGTGAGTGTCCAAAATTCAGGAGTGGATTCCAGTGTTAATACAGCTGTTTCCCGAGGATCTAAGACAGGACTGTTGTGTGTTAACGACGATGTTTTCGTGTCTTGCGGATCTGACCTGACAGAGTCTCCTACCTCCGAGTCTGTGTGATTGTTGTTTGAACCATCACCTTTGTCAACAGCTGATTTGAAGTGATTAGATATTTCAGGATTTCTGCCGATAGGGATGGGGTGTCCTTTATCCCAACTTGAACCAATCACATGCAAGTTTTCTTCTGCATTTTTGCTCACATGATTAGCAGTACATCCAATAGCTTGTCTGTATGCCAGTTCTTCTAAACTACACATTTTACAATCAAGAATACTTTTACAAGATTGGGATGTAATTACTTTCTCGTGAGAATCCTCATTTGATGATTTCTCAGAGTTTCCTTGACTCTTACTTCGCTTCTTGCTACATACTTCCCTTTCATGAAGAATTTTCCACAGTTTTAAGCCTGATTCACGCCATTTCTTCAAAAGAAATTGCTCATGGTCATCAAAATGCTTATTTTGGCAAACAGTGTTGATTCCTCTAAGAAATTCATCACTAACAGAAATATTTTCCATGCTAGTGTCAGTGTTGTTCCTTCTGGAGTAAAAAACACTGGCATCAACATCTTCAAACCCCGAGTCAATGACTCGACCTTTGACCTCATGACACAGGATATCTGCACACTCTGGCTCTGCCACCTGATGACCTTTGTTGATGTCACCTTTGACCTCTAAGACATGATTAAGCCAATCTCCATACCCGGAATCCTTATCATGCTGACCTTTTGAACTATGATTTGTGTCCACATTACTGGAACTTGCTTTTGCTCTGTCAGACTTTAACTGGTGATTATGATCGTCTTCATTTTGAACTTTGACCTCCTGGCATATTTCGTATCCGTTTTGAACTTTGACTTTTTTGCTGTGACTAAATTCATCTGATATGTGACTGTTGCTGTCATCACTAGACACGTCTCTGGACACGTCTATTGAGGACTTTGGTCTTGCTCCTTGACCAGAATAGATTAGTTTCAGGCTTTGATCCATTTTACAGATAAATGTGATCCTTCTTACTGGTTAACACAAGAATTATCCCTCTGGTGAGTTATCGCCCTTTAGATCCATAACACTTCCTGTGAAACCTGCAAGTAAATAAAGCATTTTTAATGCTAAGTATGACACTGTGTTAATACCTATTCATCTCAGTATATATATAATATCAATTCTTCTATCATCCGTAGTCATTTCTGTAAACCTAACCTGTGAGTGATCTCTCCTGCATAGTTCTTGTTTTCTTTTCCCAAACTTTTAACCTCTAAACCTAAACAATTCATTCACTGGATTTTTTTTTGGAGAACTTAAGTGCTTTCTCTATAGAATATTTCTCTTTCGGAATGAACAATCATGAATGGGTAATCTAAGGGACATTACATTAATAAAGACAATCTTACTGAAACAAGAGGCCCAGAGGCAGGATATCGCGAGCACCAGAGTGTTAAAGAGTAATATTTTATACCTATTTCTCCTTTTGTTCAAAGTTAAAGACGTGCTGGTGTTTTGTTTTTACTCGCTTGTTTTCTTTGCAGTAATGTAGATATCCATGGCAAGGTGTTCATAGGATTGACGTGTCCTAAAGTGAATTTAGGGTTTCATAATTTCTGACATGTTGAAGTTGTCCAAAAGCAGAAAATGTGGAGAAAATATTTGTTTAAGGAAGAGAGTCCCAGTGCTCTGTTTTGTATCCTCTATGAATGAAGAGTTCCAACTTGTTCAGCATATTTTTTTACCTTGTTGCCTATTTACTATTACAAGGCTTGCTTCTGGTCTAGATCTATAGCTTAGGGATGGGCAGGGATCTTTGCATTCCTGCATCATCAGTGGGGTGAGAAGATTAAGATATTCCACATAAGGATTTCAAGTTTGAGGACACCTTATTTCTGTGGAAAGCTTTGCTGCAGGGTTGGCCACAAAAGATTAGAACTGCATGGTTTTAATTAAAGGAGCTTATATGTATCTACTGTGCTATGCTCATGATATTTGCTATCTTAATACAGAACATTACTGATAATTTCTTTTTCAATTCCAAATCTCTAAATGGTTCAGGACAAATGAAAATAAAGTAATTAACATAAACTTAACAGGAAAATATCTCCTCGTGACCTGTAAACAGTAGGAAAACTGGTAAAGAAATTCACTGTAGGAGATATAGAGGGTCTTAGAGCCGGGAACCCTCAAAGGATCTAGATCCGCCACATAAATTTATAAAGAATGTTAATTAGTTTAAAACTGACTCAGGTTGCGCTTGGTTTCCATCAGGACAAAGCTTGACATCTACACAAATTGATTTCTTTTTAATATACAGAAATTCATATGAACATAACACAGGTTATGATCATACCCGATTGGTCCGGATCAGACACACATGTAGATCTACTCCGTCATATTTTATTGTTCAAACTTGATTTGAAACGGTGACTGGTGATAAAATCCTAATTTAATACAAAAGCGAAAACTAAATTATTTAACACCTGTGAAGATACAGTCTTTCAAAAAGAAGCAGAATTCATGACTTAACTTGCATTTTTAGATTAAAATATTCGAATCCATTTCAAATTATCATAATTAATTTAACAGTTCATATGTTCATATAAACGAAATTCAATTAAATTAGTTATTTTCACTTTCGTTCAAACTCTTTCTTAATGGAAAAGAGATGTGTGTCTGTCATGTGACTTATTCAACAGGTGCAAGCAGTGTATAGCATCCCCTGGGCCATGCGTCAGTTGGCTCCAGAGAGTCGAGACGATTTTCCTTGTGCATACTGGAAATTATGCGAATACCGATTACAAATTATTGGTGCATACCGTTTGGAGGTACAAACATTTGATGATCCTTGAAGCCCTGCTAATGCCTGTCTTTACTGGGGATCACAAACAGCAATTTTCCTTATTCCAGTCGCCGAAAATCACCAATTTATGCGAGAAGGAAATCAATACCACTTATGTTTTCTGGACGAACAAGAGCTCCATCAAAGGGACGCTACTCGGTACATTGTAATGACGTTGTTATTGAATAATAATCTTAAACTTACGGCCTTGATAATACACGAAGTAATTGTAACCATAGTGTACATGCTCTCCCTTTTATTTTCTGCTCAAATGCAAAAATTCTTCAACAGAACTTTTCTTTTTCAACAGATTCTACAACCTACTAAAACATCAAAGTTTAGACCCGGGACGTACAGTTAACACGACCTTTTGAAATCCTTTAGGAATATTCATTTCATATAAAATATATAGGAAACACGTTTGGAATCAACTAATGTACCTGTTTATCTACCAAGATTCCGAAAAAACTGAAGACGATAAAAAAAAATCAGAAAATATCGAAAATGTTAAAAACTATTTGACTAATATTTCGGTATGATTTTTTATGTTTCGTGCCAGTAATGAAAAAGTAAGTTCTCTTATTATCAAATTATTGTGTTTGGTTTATATTTTCAAAATATTGACAAGTGCCTTTACTAAGGGATACAGTGAGCATGACCGGATCAATTTTAAGCGTCTGTCACGAACGTCATTTTCCCATCATAAGTTGAATTCTCAATGTTAAGTTACGTTTGGTTTTAAATCATGACTTCGTGTGATATCCAGTTTTGATAAGACTTGATATACTAACTGCTATAACTATCCCGTGTTTCTATGGTATGTTACTATCTTTGCCTCTGTTATTAAGGTATTCCCATAGACACAATGTTAATTTTTGCCGTAAAAATTGTTTAGGTCAAGAATCCCATCATGAATGGAATTCCATGAAACTGAAGAGCTAGATAATTGTCTTCCTTAACTTGTGCTGAATTTTATCAGTTTATTTTTCAGTATAATCGAAGTCATGAACATTGTTTTTCTGAAACGAAATTAGCATAATTATCAAGAATCCTGTGAGAAAATGAAGGAACGTGAAAGACTTATATTATGGCACGTCAATCTCGGTTTAGATACACATGTATTTGTCACATCTTGAATACTGTTCACCGAAAAGAGAAGAAATATTGTAAAATTAAGAAAGAAAATAAATTAAAATATTTGTTTCAACAGCTCATCTTAACTTTAGGAAAACGAATTAAAGAAAAGGGTAGTTCTTCTAAGTGCATGAAATATCAATTATTATTATTTAAATTTAATGACGTAGTCTACTTATGACGGTTCGTCGTCAACGTTTTGAAAATTACATTCATTTGAAGTGCATCAAAGCGCAATTAGGATTGCTTCATAACATCCAGCTTTTTATATGCTAAATCTTCGTATCATGGACTATGCCGTGTCACCAACGTTACCGAGCCCCTTCATCGCTTATCTGATTCAACCGGTTTGTCTGTTTTAAAATGTAACATTTTCGGGTATAAATCCTGGCTGACCTGTAAATGTGTATGCAGATCTTGCAAGACTTTGTCATAAACTTAAAGGAAAATCAGATTTCTAGATCCGACGTTATTTCATAAACGAACAACTGTCCAACCGTCTGGATCAGTCACGATAAACGAAAGCGGCCCATGGCCAGGTAATAACGATTATACCAGTACGAGTCGTGCGTGTACCTTGACAGGCATTGGTGCTGGACACACTAATAGTAAAATGATATGTATATCCTTTATAATATAAATTAAAAACATAAATCTGTCAGATCTTCCGCCTGAAGAAGCCCTAGAAGGCAGAAAGGCCTATAGCGGAAGATCTGACAGATTTGTTTTTATTCTATATTTTCCTTCGCAAGGACTTGTTAATTTATTTATTATCTACTACAATATATATATTATAGTATATACCCATCATTTTACTATTAGTGTGTCCAGCATCTGTGATGTCAGGTGTTTTATCACTTAGAGACTTTTTTTAGAATACGCGACAAAACCATTCATGGCGATTAGCGTGCAGGTACAGCGGGTGAGACGGAGAGAAGTTTCAATAACCGTCTTCTGGCACCCCGATATATATACAAAACTAGATGTTTTCATAAGTCACTTAATGTGACGGCTTTAGTCAATTCGATTAAAGATTACTATAAGGTTCAGAAATGTATTGCTCGTGGTAAAGGGGAACAATGTCTTAGAAGATTTACTTCTGAATGGGAAAAATGGTTAAAATGAGTAGAGCTTGACCTCACCTAACCCCGAGTCTTATGACTATTTATATTAAGTTAGTAGGTGTTACTCTCTTACTTACTCCAACCCCTTCTATTTATGTCTACAAGCAGGTCTCTATTCAATTAGAATAAGTATAGCAATGACTGCTGATGCAGGTATACATGTACAGTGTAAGTCAGATTTGTGTTTTTTGAACGATGCCGGCTGAGCCAACTTATTACTATCTTTCTTTGATGGTTATATACATACAGGAACAAATGTACTTTAAAAGACAAAATATTGACATATACTCACAGCAGTTATTTATTTTATTAATTTTCCTCTCTCTCTCTCTCTCTCTCTCTCTCTCTCTCTCTCTCCTTTTTTTTTTGTCTCTCTGTGTGTGAAAGTGCGTGAACATTGAATGTGTCTTGGTGATTGTAAAAAATCCTCAGATGATGATGAGGATGATGATGATGATGAGGAGGAGGATGATGATAATTTAGCACATTCAACAACTGTAATGTGTGGATGTGTGTTGATGGGATGTTCTGTATAATGTAGATGTTCTGAGAATCTTGAAAATGAAAAAAAGGAACGAAAATAATAGTTCCCCTTGCCCTACATGAGACTAGAGACACTTAAGCTACACTGTATATATACATTTATTATACGTTCAATCTAATTAAAATCAGATCTCTCATTACACTACGTTATGGAAACAGAAGGGGGGGGGGGGGAGCACAAAACCCCTCATTTTATGAATTTCAAAATTCTATAGTACTGGTTAATTTCAAATTAATAAGGAAAGTGTATATATTATGAACCATGTCACTACTCATGACAGAGATTACTGTAGCCACCACGGTTACAGCATACCCCGGGTAGGTTACTAGTCCTATGCCACTTTGCTAATATCTCCCTATGTGCATGTGTGTGTGCTAGAGATGTATTGTGTTAATAAAAAAAATAGTAGATATTTCTTTATACTTATATAGGTGCTGCATTCGTATTAGATCTCAATGATTGTTATTTGTGCGTTAAAGAAACAAATACATGTAAATATTTGCAATGTTGATTGTTGAGGGTTGTGTTAGATAGAACGGTTCAATGTATAAAACGTTACTTCAAAAGACTAACGTATGTTTGAATAGCGTTGTTTTGAGGTTTTAAGCCTTATGGTATTACTCAAGAAATGTCTGTGATATTGAAAATTACAACATACTGACTAGAAATAATCCAAGTGAAGAATTGTACCATATTTTGTGTTAAATGACTAGAAATTATCGTTGTGAGATTGTACATTATACGTTATAGTGTTACGTTACCCACATTATGGTTTTAAGTTGTATACGTTACATATACAATAACTGTGTTTCTATAGTTACATATACAACAACTGTGTTTCTATAGGTACATATACAATAACCCTGTTTCTATAGTTACATATAAAATAACTGTGTTTCTATAGTTACATATACAATAACCGTGTTTCTATAGTTACATATACAATAACCATGTTTCTATACGAGAAATCATCGCTGTTATGTTTAATTCGCTGGTTTACCACCGAATTTGTGAAATAGTATTACCATGAACATTTGTGAAATAGTATTACCATGAAAATTTGTGAAATAGTATTACAATGAAAATTTGTGAAATAGTATTACCATGAAAATTTGTGAAATAATATTACCACGAACATTTGTGAAATAGTATTACCATGAAAATTTGTGAAATAGTATTACAATGAAAATTTATGAAATAGTATTACCATGAAAATTTGTGAAATAATATTACCATGAACATTTATAAAATAGTATTACCATGAAAATTTGTGAAATAATATTACCATGAAAATTTGTGAAATAGTATTACCATGAAATTTGTGAAATAGTATTACCATGAACATTTTATAATTTCGTAAAATTTGCACTGTTGTGTTGTTTATAAGCAGGTAACATTGTTGAATAAATATGAATTTGAAATACATTGTAAGATCTAAAGCCTGTTTTTAAGACGTGGGCAGTTTGATGTTAAGATCTTACTACTAGGTGTCCGGACTAGTGTCTCGTGTGTTATCGGTACAGGTGAGAACCCGTGACCTTCTGACCACACTATAGCCTCACCTGTAGATAATTAACTGTTTACCTTCCTCGCCTTTAGATTATTACCTGCTCACATGTCTTGACTATATATGTTACATCAGTAGATGTATTTTTACATCCTAGCGATCCTCACTCATATGTCTTAGTTGTTCAATAATAACATGGTTTTTATTACCAGAGGACTAACACTTTTCGTTGTGGTGGCCGCTCTGAGTTTTGAAGTTATACATTGTAAGTATGCGCTTTATACACTTTATCTATAGACTTTATGTAACCATTGTCATATTTCTATTTGGTTGTTAATTTTTATGGATATTAAGCAGAATCTGATTTTTGATTACACAACTCTTCGTTTATGATAATTTCAAATACAACCATATCACATTTATTTAACACGAAAACTGATAATTTTACCAAGGTCTGTCAACAGATAAACATTAAATGAAGGATATTCTATAATTTCGAAAGCACGGTTGTCAAACCCCCTATTTTCTCTTATGCCTTTGAACATGTTGAGAAAAACTTTGCGTAGGGGTCGTATTTCCCGAGGAATATGCAAAGGTAAATAACGCCACAACGCATTCAGACAATACATTATGTGTGTAATCTTGATCTTGATCTTGATAGGTATACGGTGACACATCCAAGGATATTATTACACCGCGCGTGCGTCAAGTACTTTACTTAAGTGGGACCCCCCTTACGATATCACTGAAAGTTTTAGCTGGTTCTTTAGCTGTTTTGATTTTGGTGAAAATATCCGGTGGTAGTAGGTTCCAATCTTTAATTGTGTTTGGTATGAAGCTGAATTTTAAAGTGTCTGACTTTGTTTGCAATCTCAGGTAATGTTGGCTATGCATGTTCTTGGTCGTCCTAGATGGTTCTTTCAATTGATCAGATGGTAAGTTGGCTTGACCGTGTATGCCTTTGCAGAAGAGGATAAGTCTGTTTTGAGTTCGGCGATCTTTTAGGGATGGTAGTTGCAGCTGGTCTAAAATTGCTGTCATACTACCTGGGTCGTAGTTGTAGTTTGATGTTATGAACCTTGCCGCCCTTTTCTGTACATTTTCCAGCTGATCTTGAAGATATATTTGGTGTGGGTCCCAGGCAGTGCTCGCATAGTCGAGGACAGGTTGTATGAGTCCTTTATATGTCTGGAGTTTAACTCCAAGTGGACATGATTGAATATTTCTTTTCAATAATCCTAATGTCCTGTAAGATTTGTTGCATATCTCATCTATGTGTTTTCCCCAGTGTAGGTCATTGGTAATATTGACTCCTAGGTATTTGATAGATGTTAAGAATTAGAGTTTGGTATCTTTTAATGTATATTCGAATGATGTTGTCTTCTTCTTGCGGCTCAATGTCATCATGTTGCATTTAATTGGTTAAAATCTCATACCCCAATTATTAGCCCAGTTACCAAAAGTGTCAATATCTTTCTGTAGTTCTGCACAGTCATCTTCGTTTTTTTATTTCTCTGTAGCATACACAGTCGTCTGCGAACAGCCTAATTTCAGATGTTACATTATCTGCTATATCGTTGATATGGACTAGAAATAGGATGGGACCAAGAACTGTTCCTTGAGGTACTCCTGATAGTACTGTTGATGTTTCAGATTTAATTCCATTCACTACAACGCACTGAGATCTTTTAGATAGGAAGGCGTTAATCCAATTCAAGATATTTTTCGGCACACCATATTTGTGAAGTTTACTTTTTAAAAGCTTGTGTGGTACAGTGTCAAATGCTTTTTCAAAGTCCAAAATAAATATATCAGTTTGTTTCCTGTTGTCAATTGCAGTTGCCCAGTCGTGAATCACGTTAATGAGTTGGGTTTCACAGCTGTGTCGTCTTCTAAATGCATGTTGTCGGCTATTTAAGATGTTATGATCTTCAAAGTGCTGCATTAGGTTCGAGCAAATGACATGTTCTAGAAGTTTGCAAGTAATACATGTTAGAGATACTGGTCTGTAATTACTTGGGATGGTTCTATCGTTCTTCTTGAATAATGGACATATATTTGCACTTTTCCATTCATCTGGGATGGTTCCTCTAGATCTGTTGATGGATTGTTGGAAAAAGTGAGCAATTACCTCCGATATTTTAGGTGCCAATTCTTTTAGAACTCTGGGGTGTATACCATCAGGACCCATCGCTTTTGATGCATTGATGTTCTTTAGAATCTTCTCCACACCTTTGCTTGATACTGTGATGTTCCTCATTTTGTCTACGAGTGGTGTCTGGCATGGAATGGATTCGTATTTCGTCTTAGTATAAACACTTGTAAACTGTTTATTCAATGCCTCCGCTTTCTGTTGGTCTGTAACGGCGGTCAAACTATCTTGAGTCTTAAGTGGTGGTATTCCCTGTTTGTCGGCCTTCTGGTTGTTAATATATTTCCAAAATGGTTTGGAATCCTGTTTTATATCCCCTATTAAGTTGTTGACATTGTGTGCTGTTTCAATTTCCTTGTTAATTGTGCGTCTTAGTTCTTGCCATTTTCGTTTTTTTCTCACGCTGTTGGTGTTTTTTTATATAGTTGCCGTGTGTTCTGTTCTTCCGTTTTATCATGACCTTGATGTTATTAGTGATCCATGGTATTGACTGTTTTCCTTTGATGTTTTAGTTGGTACATTGGTTTTGGTGATTCCTAGTATAAATTCTTTAATCATGTTCCAGTTGTCTTCTACATTCCTGGTGTCTTGATGGCCATTAAAGTATTTGTCTCTGGTGAAGTCCCTTGTATCATTTCTCATCTGATTGTAGTTTCCCTTTGAGTATTGGGAGAAGGTCCTTTCTGGTCTCATTTAATCGAACTTCGAATAGGGGTTGTGAACGAGCTTTCTCAATATTCATGCCAGCTTGACGCGAATTGATTCATTAAGGACTCACCATTGGTCCTCAGGATCACAATAAATGAAATATCGGCTTAAAGAGTTAAACGTCTGTGTTTTAGCCTCCTACATACGTCAGAGGAGATGTTACACGGGATTCATGTGTCCGTGTTTACAATACGTAAACGGGTGTTTCCAGTGTCCATGTCAGGGTGAGTTATCTTCCATCATTGAAAAAAACCTGATTGTTTCCGGTGTCAATGTAAGGGTAGGTTATCTCCCTTGTTAGAAAAAAAACAAATGTTTTTAGTTTTTATGTCAGGGTAAGTTATCTCCCCTGATAGAAGAAAAATAAATTCAGTGTCCATGTAAAGGTAAGCTATCTCCCCTTATGAAAATACAACGACTGTTTTCAGTGTCAATGCCAGCCGTTCTGTCTTATGAGGACTCACCGGTTATTCTAGGTGCCAAAAAGGAGGAAATCGGAATTGGTTTAAATTGCATTTAAAATAGAAAAAGAAGCACATTTATTTAACCCCTAATGTTTATAAATTTGAAATAAAAAAATGTTTTCAATGTCTATGGCATGATTAATTATCTCCCCTGATGAACCAAACGACTGTTTCAGGGTAAGTTAACTCCACTGATACTCATTGGTTTTACATTACAACGTGGGTGCTCCCGATACCCTTTCACAAACTAATTAAACATATGTTCCTAAGCAGCCTATTTTACATTTCAGATCATGCATAACCCACTGGAAAATTATTATTTTTGTTGTGTATTTATGGTAGGTGGGGGAGGCGGTAGCTCAAGCGGAAGTAGCAGTTCTGGATCCAGTTCCGGTTCCGGTGGAGGATCTGGACAAGGTAATCAAACCATTATGTTAAAATGAGGCGTTATAGCAATTTCGCAATTCTTGTCCACACGATATAAGCATGATAACACTCATAGAAATATTAGACGTATTTTTTTTACCATAATTAGCTGTTGGCCTTTGAGATATATAGCGTGCACAGCTCAGTTCATTCACAATCGCCTAATCTGAATATATTTAAGCGAAATGGTGTGGCAAAGCATCATGGATATCAAAAAGATGTTTTTTAATCTTTAGAGAAACATTTGACCGCACAATTTATGTGTTATTTTCTGCTATTTACGTGCAATATTGCCGTTCAGTAAAGGCGATATAGCACACGTACAATAAACATGCGAATGAGTCTTGTCACCAGGGGAATCAGGTCATATTCCTACGCACTACAAATTCTACGTTTGTAAACAAAATGGCTGACCGAGTTACCGGAGATACTATCTAATAAACGAGTTTAATAAATTCAATATTCATGAACACGAGTGTTAGATTCACACAAATTCAGCATCTGCATGTTTAAATTTCACTTGTACTTCTCCCGACACACACAATGGCGAACACGTGTAACCGGTCAACTCATCAGTGTTCCAGTTTCATGGCGGATTCCACAGTTTTCTGTCTCAGTGACAGGCGGAAACATCGAGGTTCACGTTCACCAACAACCCCCTCCAAAGAAATGCGCCCATGTTATAGAGAGTGACAATCACTCCAAGTCCCTGTAAACTTTTAAAAAGTGCAGACTTCGATGTGTATTGTGATGACCTTTACCTTGACATTGCACGCGCCGTTGTGCCAAATATGTGACGTCGCTACTATTTTACGTAAACGCGAACCGTTGAATGGTTTTCTCATAAAAAAATAATTATTTATGTTGTTATGATAATTATTAAAACATTGATTGATGAAAAGAAACCTAAATGATTGTTTGTTCATTTAAAAGGTTCTCGGGGAGAAGTTTCTAGAACTATTTTTGTAACGCAGCGAGCTCCAGACATAATGCACGTAATGCGTCTATCGTCAGTCATCGGTATATAGAGGAGACGTGTTGAGGACAACTATATATAGGAGTGTTTCTCGAATTATATAATAAACAGAATTTACCACTCTTGTTCATATAATATTGAATTTATTAAACTCTTTTATTAATTTCATATGGAATTAATAAACTAGTTCAATACATTCAATGTTACATGAACACTCGTGTCAGATCCTCTATATAAATATTAGTACATATCACTAGTACAATTTATTGATTTATAAAATGCTAAAATGTTTCCACCATATTCTTGATTTAACAATTTTCTGAAACATATAAATTGTATAATGGATAACATGAATGCTATTGTTTGATATTTTAATTAGGATGCCCCGCCCTCGGAAATTGTCTCCCTTGGCAGATCGTTCGTGACAGTAAGGGCTGTCCGATCTGTAGTGACGGGGGTTCCGGTCAGTTCGGTCCAGGTTCAGGTAATGATGACCACGAACGGAAGTTAAATAGATAGAAAAACTGAAGATTTTCTTGTTGGACTTCTTTTGTTTTTGTTCAGTTTTATCGTAATACATTTGGATATATTTTCCGTGAATCCAGAGAGTGCACGCCTTGATGAACTTAATATCTGAGGAGAACAAACTGCGGAGATTTTTTTGTTTTTTTGTTTAATGGTATGCTTTATAGTTGCTATGATAGAAACAGAAATGTTTGAAAACCGGACAAACTTGTCTTGGTATTCACTCGCTTTGTTATTAACTCTGAGATATATGATGAATAAGACAGTAGACCATGCCGACAACATGGTGCTGAATCACAATGTATATTTTTACATGCTAAGTGGCAGTATTGGGATATTTACAGGAGGGATTAATGGAGGTGGTCCTAACCAGGGAGCCAATGGCTGTGAGGCTTACGATCCCTATTGTCCAATGGGCTGTCGGTTTATAGACTTCAGGACAGGCTGTGTAAGATGTCAATGTGGCGGTAAGTGTGGGTAAAAGTCGCGTATCATAGTCCGCGGACAAAAAAGGTAAACGTAATCTTCATGCGTAAACAAGTAAAGATGTCGTTTTGACAAGTGACATGTACACTGTACTGACAAGTGACATGTACTGTGTACTGAGGGGGTTTCCAGTGTCCATGTCACTTATCAGTACACTGTACAGGTCACCTTTCAGTACACTGTACATTTCACCTTTCAGTACACTGAACATGTCTCTTGTCAGTACACAGGACATGTCACTTGTCAGTCTACTGTACATGTCACCTGTCAGTTCAGTGTACATGTCACCTGTCAGCACACTGTACATGTCACCTGTCAGTACACTGAAAGGTGACATGTACAGTGTACTGACAAGTGACATGTACAGTGTACTGAAAGGTGACATGTACAGTGTACTGACAAGTGACATTTACAGTGTACTGACAAGTGACATGTACAGTGTACTGACAAGTGACTTGTACTGTGTACTGACAAGAGACATGTACAGTGTACTGACAAGTGACATGTTCAGTGTACTGACCTCCAACAACAACCACAATTTCACAAGAGACATGTACATTGGACTGACAAGCGACATGTACAGTGTACTGACAAGTGACATGTACTTAATTAAACGATTTCTGTTTCAAATCAATACCTTGGTTATATTTCAATTATAAATATTGAGTCGTTAACGGATATTGTTTTTGTTCAATAAAAACAATCATACAAAATATTATTTTAATGCATTCTAGGTTCGAAGACAACGGAAACAACAGCTCCCACAACAACTACAACTATGACAACAACCACAAGTCCTACAACAACCACCATTCCCACAACAACCACAAGTCCCACAACAACCACAACTCCCACAACAACCATAACTCTAACAACAACCACAACTCCAACAACAGCCACAACTCCAACAACAACCACAACAACCACAACAATCACAACAACCACAACTCCAACAACAACCACAACTCCAACACCAACCACAACTCCCACAACAACCACAATTTCAACAACAACCACAACTCCAACAACAACCACAACGCCCACAATAGTCACAACGCCCACAACAACAACAACTTCAACAACAACCGCAACTCCAACAACAACCACAACCACAACTCCAACAACAACCACAACTCCAACAACAACCACACCTCCAACAACAACCACAATTTCAACAAAAACCACAACTCCAACAACAACCTCAATTTCAACAACAACCACAAGACCCATAACAACCACAAGTCCCACAACAACCACAAGTCCCACAACAACCACAAGTCCCACAACAACCACAACTCCAACAACAACCACAACTCCAACAACACCCACATCTCCAACAACACCAACAACTCCAACATCAACCACAACCATAACTCCAACAACAACCACAACTCCAACAACAACCACAACGCCCACAACAACCACAACTCCAACAACAACCACAATTTCAACAACAACCACAAGTCCCATAACAACCACAAGTCCCACAACAACCACAACGCCCACAACAACCACAACTCCAACAACAACCACAACTCCAACAACAACCACAACTCCAACATCAACCACAACCATAACTCCAACAACAACCACAACTCCAACAACAACCACAACGCCCACAACAACTACAACAACCACAACACCCACAACAACCACAACTCCAACAACAACCACAACTCCAACAACAACCACAACTCCAACAACAACCACAACTCCAACAACAACCACAACTCCAACAACAACCACATCTCCAAAAACAATCACAACTCCAACAACAACAACAACAACAACCACAACTCGAACAACAACCACAACTCCAACAACAACCACAACAACCACAACACCCACAACTCCAACAACAACCACAACTCCAACAACACCCACAACTCCAACAACAACCACATCTCCAAAAACAACCACAACTCCAACAACAACAACAACAACAACCACAACTCGAACAACAACCACAACTCCAACACCAACCACAACTCCAACAACAACCACTACTCCCTCAACAACCACAGCAACAACCACAACTCCAACAACAACCACAACAACCACAACAACCACAACAACCACAACAACCACAACTCCAACAACAACCACAACTCCAACAACAACTACTACTCACACAACCACAGCAACAACTACAACTCCAATAACAATCTCAACAACCACAACTCAAACTTTAAATGTATCAGGTGTCAATACGACTACACCAAACCCTTCTAATGATACTGTTTACATGACTACCTCGCTTGCCAATGCCACTGACAACAGTTTGTCGACAGTGATGACCACGTCAACGCCAGTTGTGACGTCAGGTGAGTTTACCCTACTTTGTTGTTCACGAGTTGACTACGGTCAGCATCAGCACAGTGGATTTGTCACACCAACCAGAAATTGGTATGGCAGTATAAATAGAGATTTCCCAATCAGTGATGGGTGCTCATCGTGTCGATCTTACTCGAGTAAGTGAATTGGCAAATTGTATACAGACACGAAGTTTACCGGATATATTTTACAATTTGAAAATTAATAAAAGAGAGTTATAGAAGCATGATATCTAGTCATTACGAGTTTGGGGACCTTTTTCTCACATCACGTTCATTTTTTATCTGATAAACAACATGTTTCTCGAGAATATATAGTATGTCTTTTCCGACGGCTAAACATTTTCCGTGAATAACGACGTCACAGTGGTAGGTGACGTCGTAAAGCATTGTTACGTGACGTCATATCTAAAAAATATATCAATGAAATCTCGTCCAGGGTATCATCCACTAGTGGGGGACCAAACAAGAAAACCAACTCCAAATTGGTTTATCCAATGAGTGAGGAAACTTATAACGGTTGTAGGAGAATTACAGATTTACGTGCTTCCAATTGTAGTAGATACTAGTGATAAATATTTCATGGAACATTGTAAAATGCGTTTCTTCATATCACATGAATTGTCTCCCCTTTGTATTCCGTAGGGTGCCCTGTGTTTGATATCAACTGTCCTCCCGGTTGCGGTACCTATGACGCCAATTTCTGTCCTGTATGCGATTTACAAATCTGTCCAAGTAAGTTCATATATAAATATCTGACGCCTGTGTATCCTATGATGTTGTAAAACATGCCTTCGTGTAAAATCCTGTCTTAATACTGACATTAAACTCTGTCGAAGTAATTTTCAAAATATAAACTTTTATCCTGTGTGTGACCTACTCATCTGTTCATGTAATTTTGTTTGTATTGTTATAAAATGTTCTGTCAAAGTGCAATGTAATTTGTGTTTTGTACCCTTTGTGATGTACTGATGTCACGATCTGAATTTCACAGTTTACTCATGTAATCTGAAGTGCACAGCAAACAAAGCAAAAAACAAAAACAAAACGACAGAGTTCTAATAGTAAAATGTAAATGTGGTCCTTTTATTCCGAATGTTAAAATATAAATACACACTATGGAACGCTTTCTAAGAACCAGTATTACGTATAAACATATCTCTCGTCCGAGGATTAAATAGCCAGAACATCCCACCACAGCTACTGTTAGTACGGAAAAGAGGTTATTACAGATGAAAGTTTAGTAAAGTGCTTTAAGTAATGCAGCTCTGACTTTTGTTTTTTCTCAGCACAAGCACCACGCCCTGTTACTAAACCTCACACGACTGAGACGCCGTGTGTTTCGATCTTCTGCATACTTCCGTGTGGAAACCCTCCAAAGTACAGGAAAGATGCCAACGGCTGCGAGCGCTGTGAATGCGCCTGATGATGAAATGAATGACAGTGTCGATATCTAAATAAATGAATGTATGGTGTCAGACGTGCTCTGTACTGACATGTTTTGGTGTATGACGTGCTCTGTACTTACATATGTGTTGGTGTCAGACGTGCTCTGTACTGACATATGTTTTGGTGTATGACGTGCTCTGTACTTACATATGTGTTGGTGTCAGACGTGCTCTTTACTGACATATGTGTATGGTGTCAGACGTGCTCTGTACTGACATATGTGTATGGTGTCAGACGTGGTCTGTACTGACATATGTGTTGGTGTCAGACGTCAGACGTGCTCTGTACTGACATATGTTTTGGTGTCAGACGTGCTCTGTACTTACATATGTGTTGGTGTATGACGTGCTCTGTACTTACATATGTGTTGGTGTATGACGTGCTCTGTACTGACATATGTGTTGGTGTCAGACGTGCTCTGTACTGACATATGTGTATGGTGTCAGACGTGCTCTGTACTGACATATGTGTATGGTGTATGACGTGATCTGTACTGACATATGTGTATGGTGTCAGACGTGCTCTGTACTGACATATGTGTATGGTGTATGACGTGATCTGTACTTACATATGTGTTGGTGTATGACCACCAATCTGATGAAACAGTTGTTCGATGTTACCATACGTTAATGTTAGGTACCTATATTTACTATGATATATTCCGTCTTTTCGTATTGCCGAGTTATCTGCTCTTGATAGCAGGTATTACTTGTTACGTCATTTGTTTGTGAGAGTAACGTCATCATTTTTTGAGATAACGACGTAATTTTCTCACACAAACTAATGACGTAACAATCAATACCTGCTCACAAGAGCAGATAACTCTGCAATACAAAAAGACGGAATATCAGCTACTCATTCTTTAGTTCCTGTATAAGACATAGTAAGGAGAATTCTTCTCTTTTTGGATGAATTGCAAGCAATTTTATATATCCCGTGCAACATATACTAATAATAACAATAATATACAACATTTATATAGCGCTTTATATGATTTGCAAACTTACTCTAAAGCGCTACAACATATGGATAATAATATTATTTATAATTGTGAAACAAAAAAGGCTAACACTCACCATTATTAAATTAATCAAGACCAAGTATGCGGGCATTATGTCGCTGTGATTATAACATTTGTTTTTAATTTAAATGTATATAACAGTAGTTAGATATTAAGAGTGCCGGACATCCTTTCAAAGGAAGACAAAGGAAATCTATCAAATAAAGAAGACCAAGGAAGTCTATCAAATAAAGAAGGATATCCTTTCAAAGGAAGTCTATCAAATAAAGAAGACAAAGGAAGCCTATCAAATAAAGAAGTCAAAATAAGTCTATAAAATAAAGAAGGAAATACTTTCAAAGGAAATCTATCAAATAAAGTCAAAAGGAAGTCTATCAAATAAAGAAGACAAAGGAAGTCTATCAAATAAAGAAGACAAAGGAAGTCAATCAAGTAAAGAAGACAAAGGAAGTCTATCAAGTAAAGAAGACAAAGGAAGTCTATCAAATAAAGAAGACAAAGGAAGTCT